ATTCAGATATTACTGAAGAAAGAAGGAATTGCACTGTGTTCCTGGAAGGGAAATATTGAGAATTTAAAAAAAGAGCGGTGTAGTAAGTTAACGACTTCTGAGAAAATACCTGTGTAACTCTTATTTGCAATAATGCCCAGCAACTTCTGACTTTATTTTAGAGAATATGACAGTTGATGAAGCTCAAAATCGGATGATATTTAAGACCATTATTTCTCGTGGGAGTAATGAAGATTACGTGACATACTCCTGGGGACAACCTAATAGCCTTTTAACAGTCACTCTTGATTGGAATCGAGAGGGTAAGTAAGAATTCTTCTGCTAATTTCATTAAACTGAAAAGTAGCTTTTTGCGCAATATACAAGGTTTAGAAGCCTTTTAATTAAGTGATGTTATCTCAAAGAAGGAATCATGCAACATGATTACAATGATAAGATGAATTTGGTTAAATGCTCTCATTAGATATTTACTTTTGTTTACAACGCCAAAGGTGAGGCACCGGAGGTGGCGGAATGCAAAAGTAAGTTTAAAGAAAACTTTTACGATTCATTACAAATCCATTATTATTTGTCAATAAAACGCAGAAGGCCTAATTTCTATAGATTTAACCCATTTTATCAAAAGTTACACTAATTTGGAAATCAACAAGCAGACCTTAATTCTACAATTCCTTCTGCCTTGTTTCCTTGTTCATACTCATGTGACTAGAACAATACTTCAACCTTTTACTCTCTGATTTCCTACCTGGTATTATATGATAACTTTTTTTATTTTATAAATTTCCATTATTGTGTACTTATTGCTTGATAACGAGTTTCATTTTATGTATTTGTACTAAATTAGTTTTGTACCTTTATGCAAATATATGTGATTAATTATACATGTCTTTGTCTTACAGAATTCTCTGAAATACAAAGTAAGACATTAATCAAGTCCGATAAATCGCTCACAGTCTGAACATCTATTCTTGAGAATCGAGGACGTAATACAATTTTGCGCAATGAAATTATATTCTAAGAAATCATGTTTTTCTCACAGGCAACTAATTAAAATTCTTCTTAAATGCAATGTCAAGTGTATTTCACTAAATTGTTCAAAGTTGATTTAGACGCGGAAAGTCTAAAATAAATTTTGAAATAAATTTTTAAATTATAAAGTTACATCCATCGGTATATGTCATACATTTGGCAAATTATCTTAACAAACATCTATAGCAGTACCGTCTAGTTATTCGGAGGCAAGCCCAAATTAGAGGGTCATCATTGCTGTTGCATTCTGTTTGAATGCATCCAATAAGCGCTAAAACGATGACACTCGTGCCATAGCTACAACTTCAAGCGGTAAGTGTAAGTTTTACGTTTTTAACATTTTGAGCTCACAAATAAACCTTCCTATTACCAT